GTAAAAGTGGCGTTATAAAATACTAAAAATAAAACGGAAAACGCCATGAGTTTTGTTTTGGGGTGGACCGCGACAGATTAAAAACACTTTATTAGACATTGAAAATCTCATAAATTCCTTGTGCGTGCGCCACACCAGTAGTGTTCTAAAACTACAGACTTGATATAAATTTTACTCCGTGGGATCGCAGACTTAGGAATAACTGTAATGGTGATATCTTGAAATTAATTGAGTGAGAGATGCAGGGACAGCTCACATTGGTGAAATTGGCAAGAATACAAATCAAAACAAAATGTAATCGACATTTTTATGGTTGCGGATTACCGTGTTATTTTAGAGTACTGGTGCTTTTATTTTATCGACGCGATCGCAGATTTAATTTATCACGATTAAATGAATAAAGCAACCATTTTAAATAAGTATATATCAATCATGGATTGAATATTTTATTCAACAGAAAAACCATTACATATCCGTTGAAAAAGTCGGCTCTTTTAATGATTGGCGTAATCTCGAGGACTGACTCAGAAGCCGTACCGCGGGGATTTTGTTTCGATGAATATGTATTTTTCATTTACTAATATACTTTACATGTATTTTAATTAAATTTCCTTTTTGGGATATTATACCAGATCTTTCTAATGACGACAACGAGTTCACATGAGTGCAATATATATAAAAACTATATACAATCGGGCAATTGATCACACTTTATGTCCGCGGATTGGCGTGGTATTTTAGAATGAATTAAAATAGAGAGAGACGGAAAAATTTATTATAAAACGAAAAAGCCGGTATTTTTACCGAACGCGGAGACCGTTTCAGGAGCCGATACATGTAAATTTACGATTCCATCTTGTGACCTCTCGCGCCCCCGTAACAGATCGTCCACCATTTAACTTTAAATCCAATATTTTATCCATAAACTTCTTTAATTCCAGTGGATGGGCTTTGCTCATGTTGATATTACGCGATACAGATTACAGATACCGAAACATACAACGCGTAGTCTTTTCAAGCTGACACGTCCGCATCCGACGACGGTCGGAACTAATCATGTCTATACTGAAACAATTCGTCACGAAAAGGCATCTTAAGACTAGCAAACCAACGCAAAATAAGGCCAAGCATAGAGTCTCTCATCGCTACAAAACTTTGCCGAATATCCAGCACAATAAATAAATAAAGCTCTCAAACGTCTCATGTCTGCCAAGCGAAAAATGGAGAAGGATGCTGAATTTGCTACTATGTACATCGAGAAACTGGATGAATATATAAAGAATGGATATGCTGAACAATACCAAAAGATGAATTGGCACCTACAGAAAGAACCTAGTTTATTCCACACCATGCAACAAGACAATCGAAGTTTCGTGTTGTCTTTGACAGTTCAGCAAAGTTTGGTGGAAAATCACTGAACGAGAATTTACTATCAAGACCTGATTTCAATAACGCATTAGTTGGAGTTCTTCTACGCTTCCGTTTGAACCCCATTGCTGTGTCGTGTGACATTCGACAGATGTTCCACAGAATATTGATGAAGCCGGAAGATACACAATCTCTTCATTTTTTATGGTTTCCTACACATGATCTTACAAAACCTGTATCTCAATTTAGAATGCTATCTTATGCCATCGGTACTACCTGCTCACCTTCGATCGCAACTTTTGCTCTGCGAAAGGTTGCAAAAGATAATTTATCTAATGCTGATCCGACTGCTGTTCAATGCATTTACTCTAATTTTTATGTAGATGACGGATTCTTTTCAAAGGATACTGTAGAGGAGACTTCTACACTAGTTCGACAGACTATACTGAATTATTGGCAACAGAAGGTTTTCACTTGACTAAATTTTCAAGTAATGAACCAGAAGTTCTGCAGTGTGTTCCCGAAGAAGACGAGGTTCCAGTTGCTCATGCTCTGGAACTAGGCAATGATGCAGTGAGTCTTACTTTAGAATTGAATTGGAATGCAGCCACTGATCAATTTGTTGTTATCGTCAGAATTCAGGAACGTTCTCCTACTCGACGTGGCATATTATCAATCGCAGATATTTGACCCTCTTGGGTATGTTCAACCATTTGTACTTGCAGCTCGTATCATTTTGCAAGATCTTTGTTACGAAGAATTTCATTGAGATGATACAATTACTGGTCCTCTTAGAGACAAATGGGAAGAATGGTTATCTAAATTACCTTCATTGAATGGCAGAATGTCATGGTATAGTGAGAATGACGTCATCAGAAACACCGCGCTCATTAAAATTTTAATGAACGATTATCAAAAATCTTGACCATGTTTATCATGATAAAAATATCAAAAAATGAGTAAAAAATATTCTATCCGCAAGACTGCCCACGTCTACAATGAAAGATATCTAGAAAATTACAAAAAATGTAAATTTCTGCTCTGGTGAGGGAGCTAATGTTAAAATGTTTTGTTTACATCACTTTTCTTTTTGCGCGTAGGATGGGTTTTTAATGAATAAGGTCTATTGGCGAGATGCATCAAATTAGAGTTGAATGACTTGATAACAGATGTATTTTTCTATACAGATTCAATGACGGTTCTTCGAATGATAAACAGTCGATCCGAACGTTTCAAAACTTTCGTTGCTAATCGATTGAATACAATTCATTTGCTTTCTCAACCTAGACCAGGCTGGTCCAAACCCAGGCCCGCGGGCCACATGTGGCCCGTCGCTCCATTACCTGTGGCCCGCGTCACATTCGGAGTTTAAACCAAAAACGCATTTTCTGTTGTTTCGTAATAAAATTAATCAGAAAAAACTTTTGACATATTGTTACATCACTAATGTCACTAAATTGCCTAGTGTTATGGTTAACTGAGGCAACTAGCGAAGTTGAATGAGGTGCTTGGCTAGTCTGAATTATTATCTGGCTTTCTATCTTTTTGGTCGGGAATATATGCTCACAATATAGGCATCATAGAAAACTAAAAAAAATGCATATTCTATTAGCCTGGGATGGCTATGTCCGATAACTATGTGTTTGCACAATGAAAGTGTTTGTTCTGTATTGCACTGTTCACCTATTCTTGGCAGTGGGCCCGCGAACAATGCAAAAATAATATTGTGGCTCGCTGAGCCGACAACCTTGGACCACCCTGACCTAGACGATGGCATTGTGTTGACACTAAGTCTAATTCAGCAGATACTGCCAGTCGTTGACTAATGCCTGATAAGTGCCACAAAGCTGATTGCTGGTTTATAGGACCTTCTTTTCTGAGAAGCAAGGAACCATTGAGTAATTCACATATTTCTGGAACAATTGACTCAGAAATATGTTCTGAAGTGAAAGTTAATTACAATGAGATATCCTACAATGACAAGAATTCTACTACACAACAACCTGGACTTATGTTGTTGCTGAAACGTTACTCTAAATTTGAAAGACTTATTTCCTCTGTGATATGGCTTCAAAGATTCAAGACTCACATGATTTGGAAATTTCTACATCGTTCTGATCCTCCAATTACTGGTTGTTTTACTGTAACAGAACGAGAAATTGCACAATAAATATTGCGAAACTTATACAGGCAGATTGGTTGTCTGCTGAACTTTGCTATTTTAAAGATATGATGAGTTTGAGCCCTTCACCTTCTGACAGAAAAAGACGTATATCGCCATTTGCTAAAGAACTCTTGCAATGTAATCCATATGTGGCTGATGGCATACTTCGAGTTGGAGGCAGGCTTCGTCAATCTGAATTACAACCTGATAAAAGAAATCCTACAATTTTACCACATATCACCATGCTACTAAACTACTGATCGATCATTTCCACTGTGAACATGGACATTGTGGAAGCAATCAAGTACAGGCTTATTTGTTACAAGAATATTGGATATTGCATTTTCAGTTAGCGGTGGCAAAAGTTCTTAGAGAATGCATGCCATTCAAGATTCAATCTGCCAGACCTGGTAGACAATGGATGTCAGATATACCGGCTGTTAGACTTTGTACAGGAAATAGACCTTTCTTTCACTGCTTCGTTGATTATTTTGGTCCTATAAAAGTCAAGTTGGGCAGAAGTGAACATAAGCGTAACAGAGTTATATTCACTTGTCTTTCTATTCGAGCAATCCATCTAGAGGTTGCCGAAAGTTTGGCTACCTCTGCATTTTTACAAGCTTTTTTTCGTTTTGTCTCGCGACGTGCAAGACCAGCTCACATGTACTCTGACAATGGTACAAATTTTATTGCTGAAAGTAAAGCTCTCAAGGATGGAATTACAAATTGGAACAAGAAACAAATTGACAATGGTCTTGCACAAAAATTTCAATGGCATTTTTCACCACCACTTGCGAGTCATCAGAATGGAGTTGTTGAAAGATTGATCAGAGAGTTAAAAAGATTCTGATGAATATGCATGATGATAAACCATTAACCGATATTTCACTTTGGTCTTTTATGGCTGGAGTGGAATCCATCTTAAATGACAGACCCCTTGTCATTGTTCACATTTGTATCATGCACAATTTCGTATTCATCATTTTTTGTGTTCGTCTATTTTGATCACCTCTTATATTGAGACAATTATATAAGTCTGAATTATCCGGGGCCGGAATGTTAGATTTGACCTCGCACGCCTCACACTTTTTGCCATTTATAATTCTCTATTATCTTTACAATCCCAGACAAATTATATTCTATCTTTATTATCTTAATTTCCTGTAGACAGTGACTCAATATTGCGCTATAGTGAAGACATAGGGAGTGAAACTTTTTCCCCGGGTTTTGAGATATCACATTTCTTATTCTTTGTTCTATACCGCACTGTGGGATTGCGAAAGTGTCGTTTAATATTGAGATTTGCCTTGGATATAGTTTACATTAGGGGTGCGGGCTTCGTGAAATCTGTCATATCAAGTTCGCTTAGTTAGGTCCTATTTAGTATTGGCTATTATTGCTTGTTATTGTGAATGGTATTTTATCATTCTTTCATTTCTTATTTATATAGTGCATCCGTGTCGTTATAAATTAGTTTTATCGTTGGTCTCCAAGTTTCTGTGCTGTAGCAACATTTTACTCATACAGTCATATGTGGAGATTGATGAATACAGTTCATTTTCTAAGGATCTCGTTGCCTCTTTACTTTAGTTGTGCAGTTACTAGAAGCTGAGAGATTGCGCATAATTCTTCAAGAGGGGTGCGAGTGCAAATAGGACTCCACTACAACAACGTTGAGTGGGTTGGAATTCACGTTCCAACTTTACATTTCTGGTAAGTTGGTGAAAACATTTTCCAGGCATGTTCATTAAATAACTGATAATCAATCACCTGGCGTACCTTGAGTAACTCGTAAATCTCCCAGAAATTGTGATTTACTTTCGTTCCACATGGCTGAAATCAAACAAAAACTAAAAAGTCACCATTGTCCATTCACTATTTTCAGCAGGTCATTTGAGTTGGCCTGCTTATACATGCTGGCATTGAAGGTAGGCTGTGGATAGCGGGAATGGGATAGCAAGCTTCAGTGAATTCTCACGAACAGAACGATAGTCTTGAGTTTTGTACACAAACATGTATTTCATATAATATACATGGGCCGTGATAATATACAGGATTTAGGAGTGTCGTAACATCTTGTCGTTGCAATTTCCACCGCCAGTCTATTTTATAGAGGAAATTGCACGAGGCAGTGTTGTTTTGTGATTAATATTGTTAAAATAACTAGTCACGTAAATTTGATGTTTAAATTTAGTAAAAGATAATCTGATGGAGAAAAAAGAAAGCTTTAAATGCAATTTGAAAGCTGATAACTTTAAAGATGCCAGGAATAAAGATAATGTTATATTTTACAACCATTTTGAAAAATATTCTTCTTTGCAAATGCAACCTTGATTTTTCTGATACGAGAGTTCATCCAATGTTGTATTTTGATGCGCATGACGTGGCAAAGCTTCGCAAAATTGCGTCAACTTCTCATGCAAAAATTGCTGGGCTCATACAGAAAACCGGTGAGGCATTGGTAGATAATCCAGACGAAAACTTGCCACCGAAGAACCATACCTTATTTGCATCGGAGTGGAACGAACGTTATGGAAATCGCTTGTGTTCCTACGCAATGTACAGTCTCCTACAGCCAGAAGACAATGTGGCTTTTGAGTTAATTCAAGAATTCATGGACAGAATGGAAAGTTATCCAGATTGGTATTTGACTGAAAGTCGAGGGAGGCATCAAAGTCCAATTGCCCATTCTTTAATTGGTTTTACCACTGCTTACGATTTTCTATACGACAGATTTGATCCTGACAGGCGTGCAGTTTATTATCACAAAATTAGAAATACAACTTTTCACATGCGAGAAGTTTTGTCAGATAAGAAATTTGGATGGACTAAGCAATATATACACAATCTTGCGTTTTCTAACATACTTTCAATAATTATCGGGGCTCTAGTAGTGAAAACACAAGAGCCTGACATAGCAAAAGAGTGGACTGAAATGAGCAAAAATAATTTGGAATCCGCTTTGGACATCCTTTCTCATATTACTGATGGGTCTCTAGACGAAGGAATGTGTTACACGAGTTACTCTTCTCGTAGTATCACTCAGTATGTCTATCTTGCTCAACGCCATTTTAATATTGACCACACAAACCATCCATGGCTAAAGCAGCACTTTTGGTTTTTGTATAAAACTACGTTGCCTGGTTTTCAGCATCCCTTTGGCTTTTCTGACGGTAGACGAAATTGGTGTTACGGACCGCAAAGTCAATTGGTGTTTCTAGACGCGTACGTGATGAAAAACGGATATGGAAACTGGCTCGCTGATAAAATACGAAACGCAACGTCTAAAAATACGCTTTTCGATCCACATCCTGACTTTTTGTGGAGCACTTTACATACCGAGTATATATTTTACAACGCATCGTTAACAGCTACAAAACCGTTGGAAAGATATGATGGCAAAATGCATATTTTCCCCGACTTAGGCCTTGTAACCTTTGGCGGCGGACAAGAGATGACAAAGAGGAACACATTTCTATCTTTCAAATCAGGTGTTTTAAATGGAGAATACGTCGAATATATCAGATACAATAACAAAATATCCCTTAAAACAAATCGTTGGAAGGGGTTCAATCCCGGACACGAACATCCGGATCAAAATTCTTTTATATTTTCACCAAACGGCAAACATTTTATAACTGAAGCATACTACGGTCCAAAGTTTTCATTTCTGGACAACGTCATCATTTTCGGCCCGTTCAACATTTCTCAATATAACCAGACGTGGGAAGGACAGATCGGGGAAACAGATACTTGGTTGAAATACGCCTTGTATACTGGAAGAAAAATGCGAGGAGAAATATTAACAGCAACAACTTCGGGTGATATGGCTTTTATTGCTGGAGAATCAGGTGGAGCATACTCGTGAGTTTAATTCTATTGCTTATGCTTTTGATCACATTTTAGCAACATTTTTACGAGCCATGTATCTAAGGTTGTTTGGTTTTTATGATCTTTTTTCCGTTTTTCCATATATATTACAGAATGTTAGTATCAAGATAAATGCAGTAATAATTAGGGTGTGTGGGAATAACCGGGTCAAATTGTCCAATAGTTTCAATAAATAGGATGGCTACAGTAGATTGTTGCTATGTATTCTTCGAGCTTAATTTTAATTTGTAATTCAGCGATGTACCATGAAGACTTTTCGCAACTAAATACCCCACATATATATGCATAAGAAACATCACATTCACAATACAGGCCAGTATATTTATAACACAATGAGGGACGTTTATAATTGTGGCTTCACATTTTTGACTGTGGTCTGTGATTATTTCGAAATTCCTTTGACGAAAAAGGATTCTCTTTGAGAATCACATCAATTTGACTTGTCAGACAGACTTCTTTTCATCGCTACATTATGAGTTCTTTATAGATATTGATATAGGAAGGTTTTTAAACAAGCAAGCCACCGACAATGTAAAACTCGCTAGTAAAGTGTTTTTGCTAGGTACGTGGGTTAAAGAAGGTGAATGGTAACGGGTGATATATATATTTTTTTATGATTGCTTAGTAGGCGGTGGCCAAAAGGGAATTAAAAGAATACTAAACAAATGGAGTACGCAAATAAAACGCACTATGCCCAAAAACTAATCGTAAAAAAATATATATTGTGTGATCTCAGTAATTTTAGTTTGGGTTAGGAACTGAATTCTATGGAAAAGTTTTTATGAGATTAAACGTATGCCAAAGTGGTGCACAATATACTATATAAATCGGACAGAATGTCGTTATTAATTTTGTGGGGTAATTCATCATCTCTTGTAGGTAATATAAATTTTTCATGAAATGTGGTGGTATGCTTATTTTTTGAGTAAAACTCGTATTAACTCAGTGGTTCTTAAACTTTGAGCCGCGCCCCTCTTTGAAAAATTTTACAAACTTCGCGCCCCCTCTTTTTGCTTTGAAAATAATATGCTAAATAATATGTCGCTATATATTAAGAAGGCGCTATAAGAGTGTTGGTCTCATGGCGTCATTGCTCAGTTTGTTTAGGCATAAAACGCTTCGGAGTACAACTTCGCCATTCACTGTCGTATGTATAAAGCCAAATAATTGTTGGTTATCATACATTCTCGTTTTTCCCCTCGGTTTGCAATACCTGGTAAAGTCAAACTAATTCTTAAGTAAAACTAAACACGCAATTAACCTATGCTTTATTGTATTTTCTGCTCAAACGCTTACATAAGACACGTAAAATTTCGATCAATTGTTACTTCATCACTATTGAGCGATGCCAAAATTATTCACTGTGTGTTTAAAAATAAGCAACAATTACAGACTTCTTGGCTTGCCTAACGTTTCAAACAAAATGGAGAAGTACAAATGATTTTATTTAAATTTAAAAGCAGTTTATTTTTTAATAGTTATTATGCATGTGCGCCCCAGGGGAGCGCGGCCCCCAGTTTAAGAACCACTGTATTAACTTATTCACTTTTCACGGCAAATGATAGAAACTTTCCATCAAACTATAAACGAAAGGAACCGATAGCACGATGAATTTTTGTACTGGACAAATGTTGTTCTCCAGTTTTTAAGATATTGGCGTAAGTCGCCAATAAATTTTATATTAAGAGAAAAATAGTTTGATTATAAATTCACTTTGGTTGCGAATAATCACCATAGAGTTCATTGTATATAAATATATGATATGAGGATACAAATTATCCGTTGGCCTGAAATCGCCTGCACCATTAAATGCGTATATTAGGTATTATATAACAATATATTATACTCGAACTCGACACAAGCTAAATCTCAGAAGTGATGACGATATTTTCTCAAACAGGTTAACTTTGGGATTATCAAGTGTCTTCCGTGGTGTTCTTTTGATCAATCCTGAAGTTCTCGTTATAATCGATAGTATTAAGCTTCAGCAAGGAAGTAAAACCAAATATGCCAGCGCGTTGTTTCATAATATTTGGAAGCAATTCGGAAAATACTCCAATCTGGGATATGAAGGTTCTTTAGTTTTTATTATATATATGTAATAGCATGTAACAATCTGAAACACATCTTGAAACTCATTTTGATGGCGCAAAACTAGATCCCAATCTTGGAAGCTGAATAAAAAGTGACCATTATGTTCATATAGACAAAAGTGTGAGACTCACCAAGTAGATACTACAATCTATCTATACTATGTATGAACTTATTTGATTTGTATAATTTACATATGTATAATATGTTTTTAGGTGCGCAAGTTCAATACCCCGAAGGTTCTTATTCGATGTTATCAATTGGAAAAGGTGGCGGAAACACCAATGTATCATTACACAAAGACGTGCAACCGGGCGGGTTAGGCTTACGCGAAGGCGCCACAAACTATGTCAACGTTACTTTCAGTTTACAAGATGACGTTACTGATATAATTCACGTGTTTTCGGGACCAAATTACGCTATAAATAGAGCAAGAATAAGTAACGTGTACGGGAAAGCAGGCGTATCACTACTACTTCAAATAAATAACATGGAATACGATATCAAAATTGCGACAGTTCCTCCATTGTCTGTTCAACCACATGAGAGAGTAACTGAATTTTGTGGATACGCCACCGTTTCTGTTGGCAATCAGACACATTACTTTGGACTGGATGATAAATCACCTAAAGAAGCAGAAAGAGCAAAACGAAAACGTTATATTTTGAAAAAGTTTCTTAACAAAAATGAGTCAGCGTTGTTACCTCAATTTTCCATTTTTACACTTTCTTCTAAAAAATTAAGAAACTCGGATACACAAAGATCTGATGATTACGAACCTGTCAACTTTATTTGGGATAAACTACCAAAACACCTGATGTTACCGAAAAGTTCAATTCTAATTTTACTACTTCCTTTGATTACATTAGTAATTTTCTTCATCATTTCATTGAAAATACGAAATTACTGGGTAAAACACTTTTGGAGAAACATGAGGTAATTGTTATTTTATTTATAATTACCGTATGACATTGAATTTACAGATAGTAATAACTTCGATTCAAGTGGAATAACATAATTTTCGATGCTTAGCCATTTTAGCGTGTTTAACAAACTGGCATCAAATAATGTTTACGCATTATTAGACTTTTGTAATTAAAACTCATCCCACGCGGGAAAAGTAAATGTAATGGAAAAAATAATTTTATGATTAGCTCTCAAGGGTAATGTGGTCAGCATATATTTGTATTTTTGCAGTGTTCGGTTTATCGTTCATTTTGAAAGTTGGCAAGTATTTTTTTGGTATTTTCCAATATTTTTAACACGATAAACAGGGTCAAGTTTTTAGTCACTTAATTAGGATTATTACAATAAGTAAAATCCATCATTTTATCATTTCAGACTGGACTTGAAAATATTGTTTATTCTTTCGTTCATCACTGTATTTGCGATTATTACATATTCATTTTCTATTCGAAAGAATGTCACCCGCGAGCAGTTATCACCGAATGAATCGCGGATCAGATCTGATACTTTCTCACGATATAATTCAATGTCTACAAGGTAGGATACTCAAAAAATTGCTTAGGAAATTTAGAGACCATGTGACATTGTTTTGTTATATCGTTCACCGTCAGATTGTATAAATGGGGCAATCACAATTCCATCCAAAAAGTCGGTCGGGCTCGGAATATGTCAAATATTTATTAAAGGTTTGATATAAATTATCCGTTTTTCTTTATACGTATTGCCTGGTAATGAATCCAATTATATTGAAACATCATGCGAAGACCAATATTTATACTTGTAATAAAATTGATATGAATTTCATAACAACATTCTGACTATTCAAAAGATCTCCCAAATAATAGGCTTGAAATCATGTATCTTAAATAGTTCTAACTAGGATTTTCAGTGATATACATTACATTTGAATTCTATTTGTGCCTTTGCTACAGAATTTGTTTTAATTTACAGTCGAATCAGAAGGAAAAAACACGAAGAACATCGATGGAATATCTTCATTCCGAAAAAGCCGTTTGTTTTCATAGCTTCACTTCCCGGATCGGGATCTAACTTATTTAACGAACTTTTTCATGATTTGTCGTTTTCAAATGTCATGGATCTTTCAAAAAATAACTACTCTGTCTCATCGAATTTATGCAAATGGCCTAAAAACAAAAAGAAGGTCAGTAACATGTATTGATTCCATACTGCATAATGGACCTTTCCCCGAACACCGACTTCCTTGTTTACTTCGTGACATTGTCCAATCAGCAAGATGCAAAAAGTGACGTAACAATGCTTCTTTTTTTGCATCCGCTCAGACACTTTTCTCACTCAGACAAATTTTCAAGCGTGGTCGTAAACATTACCCCGTTTTCGCGTTTTTGAACTCTTTGCGTTTCGGAACTCTATTCGTTAGTTTTCTGTTGTGTTACGGAAACTTAAATATAAATCAGATAACTCAATGATCGCTCTGTCTTTCTAGGAGTTTTATTTAATTGCAGTAATAAAAAAAATAGTATGGAAATAGCTGTGATAGACTAGGCTAAAATTCTTAACTGGTACTTTTAAAAAACAGATTGTTGTATGCGATGAATCATAATGATGGTTTGAAACAAACACCCCATTTTACAGGCGCCAACTCGCAAAAGCACTCTTAAAATAGCCCCGAAAATTTTGCAATGGTAAAATATGGGAAGAATTGTTCGGGGGTCAAAGGTCGGGGAAGGGTCCATACGATTTATCACAAAAGTAAAGAAAATCATTCTTACCCAATATCATCTATTGTTTGCGCAGATTCAGTCCAATTTTATTCGGCAGCTTCAAATTCATCGGAAAGAGAACTCAACCAATATGACGTTTGTAAATGATGACTCTGGTTTTTGGATTTCCAAGTTACCATGGTTGAGAAAAGCTGTCGGTAAACGCGATTTCCAAGCAGTTGTGATAGTTCGTGACCCAAGATCATGGATTTCTAGCATTCTTGACTCGAAAAAAAACAAAAGGTATGTTGTTAAGTACGATGTATAGAGTAATGATTAAAATTGTTTAAAATATTATATTTGAATCCCTTTAACAGTTTATATTGCTAATGGTAATACTGAGTCCAAACTAAATTGTAAGCATTATGCGAATTTCGACTTAAGTCGGATTGAAGTGAAACAAAAATTCAATGTTCAAAGATTATGACCGAAAGATTAAATTTCACGGGCATTGGGGGGGGATCGGCGAAACTTTAATTCCGGGTTTGCCCTCAAAATCGGCAAACTAGCTTGACGGAATGCAACGTGATGGCGGCGCAATGTACGCAAAACTAGAATCCTTGGATGGAATTAATCTATAAATTAATCTCTTCCAGTGTTTTGGGCAGTTTAATTTAAAAGCGAGTGGTCCATTCGTTGAAGAAGGTGACTCACATTAACAATCTTCGCAACACAGGTTCACTTCGTATCCAAATAGGTTCAAAGCCATCAAAATTTGACAAATAAATATCAATGACACAGACTAAATGAGTATAAACTATAAGTATTATATTTGAATAGTTCAGGCTTTGTACACCATGTCTTACTCGAAACCTTAACCCTCAAATAACAGTTATATCGTCACGTTAATAACCGAATTGCGTAAGTCATTTTTAGCAGTTTTGAGAAAAACGTAAAAAACTTCCTAATGATATTGTTATGCCATTGAAAGTCAATAATTTGCCATGGTTCAATTTTTGATCGTAGCCGGATTTAAATTAATTTGTATGACGCAGTTATGTGACGTCATAATGGTGCACTGTGACTTAGGCAGAAATGTGTCCATGACTTGGGGACATACGCAATTTGCAACTTGACTGACTATATGCACCAGTCCTGAAAACCAAACATTCCAAAAAACGAATGTAATTCTCAGTATCTAAAATTAAAAATATTTATTTCATCAATATAACACGCTCTGCACATCCACCGAAATAAGACTAAGAATAAATATAAAGAATAAAACAGCAATGCACCCAATATAAAAGCAAACCAAGGTGAATTGGACTCGGACAGTGAATATCACAAGTGCACGCCTTTCTATACTGTAGTATAAATTCAAATTTATAAGCGCTAATGAATTTAAAAATATTTATTTCATCAATATAACACGCTTTGCGCATCCACCGAAATAAGGCTAAGATTAAATATAAAGAATTAAACAGCAATGCACCCAATATAAAACCCAACTAAGGTGAATTGGACTCGGGCAGTGAATATCACAAGTGCACCCCTTCCTATACTGTAGTATAAATTCAAATTTATAAGCCCTAAACTAGAATCTGAGACGCAAAAACTCGAAAATACTTCGCCGAGGTTATTTTTCCTTTATGACGTCACAATAGTCCTGCGGTAACAATGATAATTCATTATGACGAAACAATTGCACAAATGTGCATGTCATACAAAATCTCCATTTTTATAGGTTTCGGAATACTTAAAATAAAATCTGAGTTAACAGACAGGTGCACACCATTACATAAATACCTATTTTATAAAAAACTCAAAATCGCCAAAAATGACTTACGCAATTCGGTTATTAGCCTGACGATATGCACTCTTGTAGGGAGAAGGTGGCCATACTTTAGTGTTCTACCCCGGTACTACCCCCAATGTTCGTATATTGCAGAGTTGTATGATCGAATTAAAATGATCCAAATACAGATATATTGAAATATACACTTAAACCTTGGAAGTTATACAGTTGAAATCTAAGCCAGTAATGCGACAAAAACATGAAAAACCTATATTTTGAGTTCTCACCTCTCGGACGGAGGCCGCAAAAACGTCATTGATCGCTCGGTACAGAAAAGAACTGCATTTAGACCTTGCTACGATAGTTCAAAATCAGGGAAATTGCTAAAAATGACCCATATTCATTGAATACAACATGCTATTAGTACAAATGGGTTAAATAATATCAAAATCAATAGGTACATTCCAATTTCGCTAAGCTCCAATAGTGACATACGCCAGCGCCTTTTGATAATTGGTAAATTGAGTACTAAAAAATGAAATGTGAACTTGAACTGTAATTCAAGTAGAACAACACTCATAAAAGAGATGATTTAAAGTTTTCAAAATTGAATTTTAACTATAACGATATACGTTTAAAACTTTAAATCAAGTATATATTTATTCTGTGTAGTATGAGTATAAATGAATTATTCTATTTTATCAGTTAGTGCAATGAGCATGTATACTCATTGGTTAGTGACATAGCTATGTGTGCTAACTTTGTAGCATATTTATTTAAAATGCATTTTAATTTTCAGCTACACGAGAATAAAATCAGATCTTCTAAAGCCATTTGAAACGTCGTGCAATACAGTTGGATCGGAAAATCTTCTTTACTATGAATATTTCAATCAAAATTACAAAAATTCGACAAGCGAAGTTGTAAAATTATCAGTACTGTGGACAATTAAAATAGCTAACGCTGTAGCCAACGAAGCTCAAGATGATGAGCAGTGGCCTCTGCACATTGTTAGATTTGAAGATGTTGTGAAAGAACCAGATGAGACGACAATGGATTTATTTTCTAAATTGGGTTTGCCTTTAGGATTGAAAAACTTGAGCAAAATATCGAGGGCAGTAAAAGGGCAACGATTTGAGCTTCCCTTGGGCGACATTCTTTCGACTGACATTTTAGATAGTTGGAAAACTAAACTTACTAAATCTGATCAAAATATTATAAATAATATTTGTTGTCCGCTAATGAATATTCTCAATTATAATTGCTGATTTCGAAACATTTCTTCTTTCTTTAACATTAGGTTGTGATATAGTGCTACTTCTATTCAAATCAGGAATTAATTGCAATCTATCCGATTCCATGCTGTCAGCATTCATGTTTTTTTATACAGTTAGCGGACTCTAAGCCAACAATTTCTTAAACAAGTTTGCTCTGTGAGAGTTCTAAATCTTTCAACCAGAAGTGGAAATAGTACCGACAGAAGAGTTGAAAGACGCCGACTGAAACGCAAAGACCAAAAATATTTATTTACTCAATAGTGGGACAGAATTTTAGGTACGGGTTTTCTTTTGTACGTCGAACTCACCACTAAATACGGGCCCCCCATTTTGCGACATCCCAAGAACGGGTTCGCTCAAATTCCCTAAATCCCAACATCTTGTTATACAGTTGTGAGAAATATGTGGACAAGCTTAAATTTTAGAGTAGATGAGAGCTAGTGAGTGAGTGGCTAATCTATTGGAATGACTTGGGGCGGGAACGAGCAAAGATACAAAAAAGTACCATCGAAGTCTGTTATAGTTTCCATAAATTAAGATGAGTGGAGCAGCCACTGTATGGATAGAAAAGACTTTACAAAACGCAAACTACTATTAACCAAACTTAAACATGCAATGGGTAATACGTGTATTTAAAACTTTCTTTTGAAGTTGGTCAAACAGGTTAGGAGTAGTTTTTTTTTCACCCTATGAAATTAGGAACATTCACGGTTTGTCCAAACAGCGTTCACCGAGGGCTATCGATTTTGAATGATATTGGTGTTCGGGTTGGATTCCCGACTTGGATTGACAAAAATTTGACAACAAACGCCCTCGGAACCCTATTTTAGTAAAAATTCCGACCTCGAATTCGGTGTCTTAAGAATTTTTAGAAGATTCCGGTTCCGATAATAAAATAAAACATTTCTGGAAACGGAAAAGAAGCATCCAACGGACCATTTTAAAAAAGTTTGGTAGTAGGGATTTTTCCAAAAAGAATTGTTTTAAAACAATTGTTTCAAATCAAGTTTTTGCCTGTTTTTTTCAAAATGGCTGTATTATTTGATTTTCTTTTGTATTGAGTTGGTAAACACTTAAACAAGAAAAATGGATGTAAAACTTGCCAATTGCTTCTTTGTAAAGTTGGAACGTTGTTGTAGTGGAGTACTATTTGCACCCGCACCCGTCTTGAAGAATTATGCGCAATCTCCCAGCTTCTAGTAACTGCACAACCAAAGTAGTAAAGAGGCGACGGGATCCTTAGAAAACGAATTGTATTCATCAATCTCTACATATGACTGTATCAGTAAAATGTTGCTACAGCACAAAAACTTGAAGACCAACGATAAAACCAATGGTTCCTTTACATTTGAACCCACGTACATTTGAACCCACGACAATTTGCACAAGCAATACTAAATAGGACCTAACTAAGCTAAATTAATATGACAGATTTCACGAAACCCGCACCCCTAATGCAAACTATATTCAAGGCAAATCTCAATATTAAACGACACTTTCACATTCCCACAGTGCCGTATAGAACAAAGAATCAAAAGCACGTTATCTCCTCAGAACCCGGTGGAAAAGTTTCACTCCCTAAGTCTTCACTATGGCGCAATAATGAGTCACTGTCACAGCAAATTAAGATAATAAAAATAGAACATAATTTGTCTGGGATAGGTAAGATAATAGAGAAATATAAATGGACGAAAGTGTGAGGCGTGCGAGGTCAAATCTAATATTCTTACTGGCAATAAACCCTTCCTTCGAAACGCCACAAATACTGATGACTTGCCCTTACAGGCCTTCTCAAGCTGTAGCGCAATGCGTCCGCAAACGTTGTTGGGAGAGGAAGACTCAACCGATAAGCCATTACTTGAAGCACCCTGCGACGGCGAGGAGTCCAACAATTCTCTTGAACATCACTCATGATATTCGAATCAAGGCCGAATATACCATTAGGCAAGTAGGCTGAACCTCAAACCTGAAGGGCCTTGACAATCAATATTTGAACTTACTATCCGTTTTAAATTGTAAAGGCTTGTTCCAGAATAATGTCAGTTTGATAATTTATAGATCTCATTTTTGTATTCAGGTTCCAAATATTTACCGTTTGAAGATGAAAAAATTAAAATACAGCCGATTGAATAGATTTCTATAACTTTGAAAACCGTATTCTCTTAACTTAAAAACAAAGTGTGCTAATTTGAAATAACTGAACTTAAATTAACTTATGTATGTTGTTTGTGACAAAAGCTGTGGACGATACAAGTTTTGCATAGGGTGCTTCACTGAGCTCCCTTGTTTATTTCCGTGAAATTAACCAATTAGCAATAAGTTGAAGTCAACGCAACAAATTGATATTTGTGCAAGCGCTCAGTCACTTTTTCACGTAGACAGACTCGTTTTCTCGTTTTGCCAAAGATTTGTCATTTTTTGTTGCTTTCGGAAATTTAGGTATAAATCATATATATATATATTTAATTTCTATGATCATTTGGTTTTCGAGGAATTCCGAGATTCGATTCAAAAGATATTTCATTTGATTCATCAGGTATAGAAAAACTGCCCTATCAACCTATCCTATTAACGACACGAACTTTTAGCGATTCGGCGTATATATTTTGTATATCTTTGCTCTTACATTTGCTTCTGGTGTGTCAGAATAAACACCAAACTAGATAGCGATCGGAGACATCCGATTTATCGATCTTCCGCGTGTTCCCTTCGCTCTGACTCAATAGCGACATCGCGTGTCCCTACACTAATTAATTATTAACATTATACGACATAGGTCATCCAAAATCAATAGGCTGCTGGTCCGAGATATGATGAATGCACATGCGAAATTTGGAGCAGATTCAACCTCGCTTTCGTGAGATATCGCGTAACATACGAAAGTTTTTCGTAAGACGACGCAACCATGAGTTATTGAACAAAAGTAAATTAATACGAAAGGCATTTTAAATGCTGTTATCAGTCATGTATTTAAGTAAATATTTTGCACAACAGATAAGTCCATAATCTTAACAAACATTATCAAAACTATTTGATGATAGATATAAAACTATCAAAAACATTTTATGTCCACAGATTGTCGCCGTATCTAAGAGTAGTAATGCATTAATTTATTCGTGAGTCGGCAAAACTATGAGTTACGTTAAACACAATTAAATTAATACAATAAGTACTTTTAAATGTTGTTATCGGTCACGGATTTGAATATTTTGTCGCAATATAAAATTATCTTAGTTAGAAGGCCATACTTTCAAGTTTCAACTATCATTATCAAAATTATTTTCCTAAAGGCGGGAAATAATATGAAATTTTTTTTCCGTGAGTACGAAAATATAAATAAAAATTAATTGTAATCGGGCAGTTTACCACACATTTTATGTCCACAGATTGCCGAGGTATTTTAGAGTTGTAATATTAATTGTTTTTCGTAAGTACGGAGATAGGTATACAAAATCAATGACAATTGGCCAGTTTTACCACACCATTTATGTCCGCACATTGCCGCGGTAATACTTTTATTTTTTCGTTAGTTGACGCAACCACGAATTACGTTAATACGGCAAGGCATTTCAAATGCTGTTATTGTTCATGAATTCGAATATTTTGTCGCAACGGAAGATCATCATAATAAAAAGTCGTTACTTTTGACTATCATTATCAAAGTTATTTGCCAAAAGCGGGAAAAAGTTTAAATGATTTTTTTCGAATAAATCAACTCGTTTTTTCGGACTTGAGGCAATTTATTGGGTGTCGTAATTTATTTAACTTATTTGACTATTTGTATTTATGTGAGATCCGTGACTCAATTCAAATGAATGCGTAAATTAGAAGCCTTGCAAGGGAATGGTGACAGTGCAAATGTGTCGCAGCAATACGAGGCGCGCGCTCGCACTGAAGATAACAAACAATCAAAGTGCCGATACTATTTCACCGTCATTGCATTACGCGACAAATCGTCTGAAGATTTCTCTTTAAAATGAAACACCACGCTGACGGCGAAAAGTGGCTATTGTTCGGAACTATTCGAAAATCAGCCGAAAAGATATTCGAATACTTTGATATTCAAATATTCGATTTGTTTTGGACAACCCTGAATTTGCAGCTGCATCGGTTGCAGTCGAATTTAACCAACATGCTTCATGGTGGACAATGAAGTTCTCCCATTAAAAAAAATCGTGTATATGAAAAAGGTCGATAATATCTTTTATGATAAACACATACAATCAAAATGCTTTATATTGAGGCTGAATTTTCAAGTTTCATCAGCTTAGAGAGATTCGCAAATGAAACGTATTTCGGAAATCTCACAAAAAGTAACGACTAACAAGATAGCGATCGACCGACTTATCAATCTTCCACAAAAAAAAAATTAATCAACTAACTAAGGAGATAGCGATCAGAGATCGCCGACTTATCGATCTAGCGGCGTGTAGCGGCACGCATCAAAGTCTGTCAGTACCATCACTTTTGAAGTAGCTCTGTCTGATTTGTGTGGAGGTAATGACCTACTGTGTAACAAAGCAGCTCAAATGTATAACAGATATACAAGCTAGTTTGTATTCAATCTATAATGAGAAAAAGACTGTTCAAAAAAACACACAGCGAGCTATTCAAACAAGTCAAAGCAAGTATAAAACGCACAAGTATAAAACTGACGCACCGTTCTCCGCAACGAGCGTCCCCTCAAACAGCACAAAAACGTAGCTGTCAGCATCGGTCAAAGGTCATGAAAGTTGGTAATGAACCTTTCCCAGAGCATCGACTTCCTTGTTTCATTCGTGACATTGGCCAATCAGCAAGATTCAAAAAGGGGCGTTGAATCGCATCCGCTCAGACACTTTTGTCGCTCAGACAGATTTTCAGGCGCAGTCGTAAACATTACCTCGTTTTCGCGTTTTTAAATTCTGTTCGTGGGTTTTCAGCAACGACTAACATACCGTTTTCAGTTATGTTGCGAATATTTTTTAATGACCACTCTGTCTTCTTAAGAGTGTCAGTTTAATTGCAGTATTCAAACATTAGTGTAGAAATAGCTGTACTAGACTAGGCTAAACTTCAATAAACAAACGAGAATATCGGTTGGAAACCGAAGACTCATCGATCGATAGTTAGGGGATCCCCCAAAACAGAAACTGCAGTTTCGATTCATCCGCTCTTGTAACTTGCGCACTGCGCATCGCACACACACACTCGGCGGGTTTCAAAATTCTCTCGCTTTACACAAATCTAGATCACTATCTCAATAATTGATTGATAACTCGCTAATTATACGACATAATTCGCCCAAAATCAATAGGCTTCTGGTCCGAGATAAGATGAATGCACATGCAAAATCTGGAGCAGATTCAATCTCGCTTTCGTGAGATATCGCGTGCATCTAACAGACACACACACAGACACACAGACAGACAGACATACATACATACAAATACCTATCAATATACTTACCGATCTTAAGATCGATAAGTAATAACCCCATTTTACAGACGCCAACTCGCGAAACCACTCTTAAAACAAGCACCGAAACTTTTGCAATAGTAAAGTATAGGAAGAATTTTACGGGGATTAAAGGTCGAGGAAAGGTCCATAGAGGCAGGCACTACATAACAGAAAGCAAACGACATAGAAGGATTCAATATGTGAAATATTCAATCATATTTTAGTTGTTTAACACAATTCTGTTAATTTTCGCGCGCACCCGTTTGTAACCGCTGCCATAAAGGTATATTACGTAGTTTTGCGCGTTCATTTGGTATCTAATCATTGTAAACCCAATGAACTACGAGGCTAACAAATCGAAAACAATAAAGTGAGGTATTCAGATGAAGATTTTTAGTGACATCGCATGTCAAAGATTTTACAATCAAGTCGTCAAATGCATTTATGATATCATTAGATTTCAACCGACGGATGTAAATTTAGTAAATATTATGATTATACATAAATCAAAACCACCGTTGATATGGGTGACAGCAAGCAAACCTTTTGATTGAGAGTCTGAATTCAGTTAATTACCTCGTAAAGGAGACATCCTATTTAACGATAAAAATGCCAATCCTTTAATTTAATTAAAGCCAACCCATTCTCACTGACCGATACATAATAATCTTTCTGTTTGCAAAACATTAACGATGTCGTAAATGACATCAACCAAGGTAACAAAATGTAACTGATTTACTGCACCTAAATTTACTTTATAATTAAGTTGAAGGAAAATAAGTATAATATACACTAGAATACAGTTATTTTATAAAATAATTTAATAGTTTACAATGTTTGTCTTTATAACTGCTTTCGACATCATTGTCCATATTTTGTCCAGGCGTTTCTCAAATTGCTATTTGTATTAAAAAATGTTATTTCGGACTAAATAAAAACACAAGAAGTCAGAATTAGTAGGCTCCAGATGGGTTTTCGTATACAACGGATCACACATTCGGTACAAAGATAACTGACTGATTTTTTTTCAAATTTTGGCGTCTACTTCGGGGTTTTAATACTTCGAGGTTTCAAAACAAAAATTGCACTACTTTGGACCGGAGTTAAACCCTCGAAAAGGCTTGTTTAATTAGGCTAATGAAATCAGCGAATATAGGGTGTCGCCAGTTCAGTGTATTTACTGTGGTCGATGCTCAGCATTTTACTTCTTTTATAGCAATATTTCAAATATAAAATGATAAGATTCACAAAACTCTGTCATTAAAATGATCCCACTTCAATTATTTAAATTTCACGCATCAGACATTTTGAAATGTTCTAAACGCGTATGGGAGCTACTAATTTCTCGAAGCGTATTTTGATGTAATATTTGTTTTTGATAAGTTTATTTGCCCACTTCCATCAATCATAGGAACATTTAAATCACTAATTTAATTAAAACTTGTATATTGTGCTATTTTCTTCTTGTTTGTTTCATGTCTCTTGATGACGTAATTCCCAGACAATTTGTAGGAATAAACATGTAGTATACACTAATATACACTAACTTCACGCAAGATTTTTTGTAATTGATGGAATAGTCGAAGAGTCGAAACGTTTTTTTTGTTCCCAAAAATCCAGTATATAAATACAAAAAACACTTTGGTCCACTGTCTTGTTCTTGTTAAGTATTATGTAAAACACTCAATATATTTTGGTTGATTAAAAATGAAGCTATCAACAAGATACACAATCTCTATTGAAAGTGATAGCTTTTTGCGACCAACACTTTATTATCTGGTGATGATTAACAGTAGACAAACGTGTGACACAAGCTCAATTAAACTTTAGTCGTGTTGACTATTTCCCCTAAATGAAGACGTAGGCAATACTTGAAAGTAAATTTTTACCCAATATCCCCCATAAATAAGCCTATGATCCACACCCTGTCTTTCTTACTTTCTTCCCAGTCAACTTTCGCTGTCAGGAATTTAAATTAAACGCCTTAATGATGACATTGCTAAAAATAGAACCTGACAACCGCGTATAGAAAATGAAATTTAATAAAAATAATATTAAAACATACAGATGGCAGACAGATACAAAATTATACATATATATAGAAAAAACTTTGAGTTGGTCGATCATTTTGCCCGGAGATTTAATTTAATTCTCGTTGCTATTTATCTTCGAAAAATTCTCATTTGAAATAATTTACGTTCCCATCGAAAGCATGTGAGAAGAGTAAACATACAAATGGATTTAATTAATAATAATGGTTAGGCGAGGCCTCATTACTTCTTCTTTGTCTATCAAGTATGGGTGACGTAAAACAGCAAAAATGTCTCCGTTTAGCAACGACTTTTGCTTGTCATACAGATATTCGGTTCAATTTCTTTGCCCAAATTTTGTATATTCGCTTGAATTTAAAGTTCAAAAATTCAATATAGACATCAGAGGCAATCAGGTTGGAATTATGATTCTCGTTACAAATATAAAAAGATACGGGTATCGAAAAATGCTTTGAGTTTACACGGTAACTATAGCTAATATTTAGATGTGATATGAGATTAACAATTTGAACATGGCTAACTTCAAATCTGGAGCAAAAACAAAAAAAAAATTCAAATTATTTCAGAATTTTTGATGCTGTGACAGTTTTGAAAATATAACTTTGACATACCATATTTTTGACCCAAATTTACATTCACTGCTGGAATTGAAAAACGAAGAAAAAACTCTTCAGTGAGAAATTAAATTCGATTATAAGTATCTCAAACTATTTAGTTGATAAATTAAATTGTAATGTTTAAATAAAAAATTATGGGTTGAAAACACGAACACAGTAAAGAATAAATCTTCATTTCTCGTCTGTTTTTTTGCTAATTGTGCTGCCAGTGCTGTTACGCATTGCCTTGTCACTACTGTTAATTGCTGCGGTAAACAGCTCCTTGTAATGCAGAGTATTCATTAAATAAGATCTGTAATACTCATAATAAAATGGATTTGTTGCTAAAAAATTCGACATTCCAGGCATTTGATAGTTCGGAAACATTTGCCCTATTTGATTTGGACATTTGAGAGCATCTTCATTCCAAAGTGGATAGGTGGGATTTTTAACGTGACTCGGGGATTTAGATAAACTTTCGTAGGAGCTAGGTATTGGTGGAGGAGATACATCGTTTTGTCTGATTTGATTGTTGTCGCCCATTCCATGCTCCGAGGATTTAATAACATAGTGAGGCTTGGGGGCAGGTACAACTTCCGTATCGACTAGTTCTTGCAAACCACCAAACTTTCCTAACTTTTCGCTTTTTCTCCATTTGGCACGTCTGTTTTGAAACCATATTTGAATTCGAGCTTCGGGAAGTTGGATTTTACATGCCAATCGATCACGTGTACCAACATCTGGGTAATGTGTTACAGCAAAAACTTTTTCCAGTTGTTGCAACTGATTAGGCGAGAAAGTAGTTCGTGCACGACGCTTGTTTCCCCTGAACGGACCACTTGAAGGTGAAATCAAAGAAGTTACACTCACTTCATCACCGCTGGAATCAGTGTCTGTAAAATGATTTTTTCGTACGTTCAAAAAACTATGATTGCACAATAAATACTACGATTTATGATCCGTTATGCCGTTATTAATACAGAATTGATTTCAATAGCCAAAATTCAAACGTGTACATTTATTTTTTTAAAGATAATACCAACAATGTTAATACGTTCATTTGAACACAATTAGGCTTACAAAACGTAACCAAGATAAATTTAAAAAATACCTTCATTCCTCATTTGCAACAACGCATCTTCCCTGTCCATAGTCATCTGTGCTTTATATGGGTCAGTAATATATGCTGTGTAGGTAGTATATATTATTTCTAACTTAAAATGAACATGAGCCACTTATTAGATATTTTAAAATCAAAATGTTTTTGTTTACTTGTTCTCGATGGCTTGTTGTTGTGGCAAATAAGAAAAGTACTAGCACTAGTAATCAATTAGTTATCCACTTTTATATCCAAATTATTATATGTTGATATTCATATTATATAAACTGCTTCACAATGCAAAGGAGTTTGCGCTTGAAATCGAATACATAACTTTTTTTAGTTGTTGTAGAAATAACTTTTAGCCTGCCACGTCTTTTCTTTGTCTATACCTCGGATTGAATACCTCCTGGCGCTTCGAGTACATCAGGAAACTGAGCTGCGATTTGACGACGTTATCATATTTAAAGCACAAACACTAAATATACATCGATGATGACAATTTCAATTTATTACTCTTGTGTTTAAACAACAAATTGTTCCAAAATGACATGTGCCAGACGTGAACATAGCATATCAGTATAGAATACATCAGAATGTCAACAGGAATTCAGTAAAATGTTCAAGAACATCATGTAATGAACGGTTTTTATGATCAACTTAATTGAAATGCATTCAATTTGTCGCATAGTAAAATACCGCGTAATGCGAGTATATATTGAATTGTGTGTTGAAAAAAAAGTTTTTCTTTGTTCAAGTATTTTTTAGAATAAGATTAATTTAGCCATGTAAATATTTATTAATAATAAAATAAAATCAGAATCCATTTTTCCATTGGCCCAATGGCGTTCATAAATTTTTTATTCGTTTCCCTTTTTTTAAATGTCATAGCGCCATCATTAAGAATACACGTTGCCATACACCGGGGGTCGGCAACCTACGGCCCGCGGACCAGATCCGACCGTGGAGTAAAATAATCCGGCCCGCGACGCTTCACTGAATTATAGCATCAAAACGGCGGTAAACTGCAGTTTGTGATCGACAGAGATTTCACCTTCTCACGTGTGCTCTAATATAGCAGAGTAATATTATGTTAAAAATATATTTCATTAAAAACATACTTTATGCGATTAATATATCTGTTTATCTAATTGTTTCCTGCAATTTGATTTCTGGCAATACAATAGTAAGAAACGTTGCAAAACATGAAAAGCAAAATTACCAAAACCCAGCCTATATGACAAGTTTGTAACCTTTCTTCTTGCGCATTTTGTAATTATTGTAACTTCAATAACATAATGGCTTAACCTAACAACCGGTAAAGAGATTCCATAAATATTAATCTTTATTAAATCAAATTTCATATTTGTATTTCTCACGTCTGTCCGATGGGAAACGTACCGTAAATTCAATCTATATCTAACAATATAGCAACGAAAATAAAATTAAATCGCTAAGCTAGCATGGGAAAGAATTTTTTTGTTTTGAGCCGATTATGAATCCTTCTTAGAGCAAGCGGAAATTCACCCAATCAGAGACGACTAATAAAATTTCAAATTCAATCCGCAAAACTGAAATGCTTGCGATTACCTTATTCGGACCTCCGAACGTATGCGCACCAAGATGGCGCACAACCTGAAGTCAGGTTGTGTACCAGGTTAGGGTTCGGGTTAAGCGACATCTTGGTGCACATACTTCAGGAGTACCCCTTATTCACTCGTCAATCGTATCACTACTAGTGATGAATACTTAAATAAATCTAGATTAGTATTGCCCGTTTTAAGCCATTAACCAAAAAGTGGTCAAGGCCAAAATGGCTTGATTACAATTAACCCTTCGAATCATTATTTGGTATAATTGAAAGATTATTTCGCTAACTTTTTCGATATTTGAAAAATCTGAGAATATGAGGTGTACACTTAAGTCTTGTTTAAGTTTTTCTCTGTGCAGGTTTGCTCAAAGTAACTTACCGATGTGTTAAAAAAGAAAGGGCACTTGAAGAATGATCGCAAGTGTGAGCAATTATTTGTCTTCGGCGAATAGATTACAAGCGCAACAGCAGTAACCATAGAAACAACTAGGATAAGCAGATGATTCGTCTGCACTAAATCAGGTGTTTACAACTGGTACATATGAATATAGAATATCGGAAGATTGTAAGATATAATATTGAACACAAAACAAGTTGAAAGGAATAAGCGTGATATACAGGATGTCTCAAAAGTAAGTATACACTTTTAAATTTGATTTGCTTTTCAGGTACTCATCATAGAGCGTTCATTTCTTCAGGCAACGTAGTATGAAGTGAAAGTAGTGAAATTTAGGTATTGTTTGCATTTTTCACCAATCTACACTACAGAATTACAAGGAGATTAACCCAAGAAATGAGGTGCGAAGTGCTTTTTGGCGAGAAGCATATAACAGCATTTTCGCACCTTATTTCTTAGGTCAATCTCATTGCCATTTTGTGTGCTTTTGAAAAATGCAAACAATACCTAAATTTTACTACATAGTACATATCAGTACTATATCTCCTGAAGAAATGAAAGCCTTATGATAAGTACCTGGAAAGCAAATCAAAATTAAAAGTGTATACTTACCTTTGAGACACCCTGTATAATATTTTTTGTTCTCACACCGAATAAGGCTGTAGACAAGTAGCCACAGTTACGAAAAAGTTACAATAATTGGAATGGTCGTAAGCCCTCTATTCGGTATTGTAAACATCGGCTCACTTATTCAGGTTTGCATCGAATATGCACAAAGGAGTGAATTTCATCCGATTTAAGGTTAAAATAAAATCTGATACAGCCTACTCATTCTACATTTTTAATGTCAGCGTTGGGCTTGGATTTCATCCGCTAGATGTGCGAGGCAAGGCAATCTGAATTTTTCATTTTTGTAAACATCGGCTCACTTATTCAGGTTTGCATCGAATATGCACAAAGGAGTGAATTTCATCCGATTTAAGGTTAATTAAAATCTGATACACCCTACTCATTCTACATTTTTAATGTCAGCGTTGGGCTTGGATTTCATCCGCTAGATGTGCAAAGCAAGGTAATAAATAATCTTGTTTCGAATGCCTCTCTCATTAGTGTATTTGCATTTCCCTATTTATAATATTTATGGGCGCAGGAAACCCTTGTTCGGAAAGGGATTCTGACGAGAATGGAAACAGCTTTTGTACAAGCCTGTGGTACTTAGTGCAACCAAAATTCTATATAGTTTTTAAATTTTCATTTCTACTTTTTGTAACAAATCTGATCATGATTTTAAGAAGTTCATCAGAAGAGATTTTCACAATACCAAAATAACCGCCCTTTTCGTATTACGCTATAGGAAAATGCGAGACTAAATGACAATTAGTCAAGTTACTCTGACCAATGAGTATAAAATAAACTCATTGCTCTGACAAAACAATTTACAGTTCATACGAGTACAGTTAGTAAACGAACTTCAAAAGGCGCAAAGTACACATTAACGATCACAAAATTGAGTTTTATCTGAAAGGATTTCTTTCGCGTAAGTGCGCCTTGATTTTTTTCCGGATAATTTGGCGCCGCGCAAACAAAAAGTTAGGGAACGGCTAGCTTACCTCGTTTTTGCGTGCTACTGTTAGTTTTTAGTTGTGTTTCGGAAATGTAAGTATGAATCAAATAGCTACCTTAATGATCATTTTATGTGATTTTATCATCGTGGGTGTTTTAGTTTAATTACTAAAAATAGATGTGGTAAACTTTTCTACCGGTATTTTCAAATGGTTATTGAATATTCTGAATCAAAATTATCATTTAAAACATTTATAAGCGCTAACTGGCGAAACCACTCTCAATAAAAGCACCGAAAATTTTGCTATGGTAAAGTATGAGAAGAATTTTCCGGGGATCAACGGTGGGGGAAACATCCATTACCTTCGACTTTATAGCCTTTGGTTTGTTTTTGTTATAAATGTGGAATACCATAAAAATTGGTAAAATACACAATATACTTGAGTAGGTGTGGTACATATTTACGGTAGTACGAGTGCTAGAAGCTTCCGGATAAGGGCCACGAGCCAAAAAATGTTGGGAATAACTGGTGTATAGTCTTTGCAGGATTAATCATTGAGCAAAATAAGCACGTGATTGAGGCACCAAGCGAACGGGGGCACCACAGAAATTTCCATAGTCGATTTTTTCAATGATGCCTCAGTGCTTAATGAAACAATTCGGGTTGGTGAGACGACACAGACATCAATATTGGCCCGGTTGAAATAAAGTTCTCAAGTATCATCTTAAGCCTCTCTATCAATGTTTGTAAGTACTGTATAAGAACTTTTTTCGATAACAAAACAATTATACAAATCAATAATAATTGGCCTCAATTAGCAATTAATACTGCAGCTCACTTATTTAATTTCGGATATCACAGAACACCAGTTTCATTATGTTTAGAAGAAATAGAAATGACATATACGTCCTGTATACCGATAATTGATATATAACCGTTGTTTGAATCTTAAAAACCGCTTAATTTTCCGTAATTCCGTAATTTTCTGTTCTGCGAAAAACCCTTTCTGAAACCACGGTTCGGATACTTCATATTTTCCGGATTTCATGTTTAACTACTACATTTGACTCCATATATGTTGCACTCTTCTTTATTTGCAAGCTGTGCAGCCATAGTTAAATTATAGGATATTGGGTAATTTTGCTGCTTTTGGTTAATAGGTTACGTGTTTAAACTTAAAGTCGTACTAATCTTACCCAATATCCTATAAATTCAATTGATTCAGTAAACCATGGTGCCAGAGCATATTACAACGCAGAGAGGAATTACGGTACTGATAGTCATTACGGTATCTTGAAGCAGCACCTTTGCATTCTACGCCTGTCCATGATCACATAGGTGAAATACGTACGTCATCAGGGTGGCCTAGCACAGCCTCAATCACAACAGGTTTCTTCGTAGGTACGTACAAATGTACAACCCTGATGCTGATATTCTGTCATTTCACTGGTGATATTCTGACTTTAGCTTCTACTTATCCATTTCTATAAATATTTTCTTGATTTGCTGCACATACTGGCATATTGCTAGAGAAGTTTTAAATTTTTTGAACGAAAGCTTGCAGTTTTCTGGAACAAAATGGCAAGTAAAGGAGAATATGGATACTCATGGATGCGGTATTTCAAGACCGCTTGTTTAACAGCTGCATTTTTTGTCTTGGTGAGTACAGGACTAAAATTACAGAATTATGATCATATATCCTCTACAACTTTATTAGACCATGCGTTTGACTGCCGGATCGTCTAATTCCTGATTTGTAACTGTTGCAAATCTACATTGTTAGGAATGCATACATGTTTACACCAGTGCATGTGCTAGGCATGCCATATTGAATTTGCTGGGATGAGTTGGAAAATTTTTTTTCGTATCTTATCATTTCTTCACTCTGACTTTTTAATCAAGAATATTTTCAGTAATATATAGGTCTACATCCCTGCACTCTGTGCTATTTTATTACTGTTCATTTCACATACTATTTTGCGAGACATTAGAATGTCATTGTGAAAAAAAGAATAAATGTTAATGTTTTTATTTTTCAGGGATTGTGTATTGCACTTCTCGGTCCTTCTCTTCCCACTCTTGCACATAATCTTAACACATTAGATGAGAATCTTTCATTCATTGTGACAGCAAGAGGTTGTGGATATCTTATCGGATCACTTCTATGTGCATTGTTGTTCAAGTATGATACTAATCTGCTGTTTTGAGTATATGTTCATACATAAAATTTGGGTTCCAATGTAGAATATTTGAACCTGCATACTTTTGCACTTGAGGACATATACTTAGGCCCACGACAGGTGCACTTCAACATTTGCATCCTTGGATATTTGAACTAATGGGCATTTCCACCCATGGATATTTGCAACAAGGTCATTCGAACCTTTGTAAATGCTATAGGTGAGGAATACACATCGAAAAAAGTGCGAGTATAAATGTGTGGGTGCAAATGTGTGTGGTTCAAAGGTGCTGTAACAAAAACTTCTGTTTTTTCTCAAACTCGAAAGCCTACCTAAATCTAGTTTTATTTGCATATAGAAATAGATGTATCAGTATAGTCATTAAGCAAGAAACGATTAAAATGTTTCTGAGGTTAACATTTTTATGTAAAAAAGTATAGCTGCTTTAAATATTCTATTTTTTCAATCAACAGTTCACTCATCTCAAGTATTTATTCACTCGCCATTTTCTCACAATTTGTGACTTCTGTTTGAAAGATAAATTGTTAATGTATTGTCACGTAATTCACGGGGATGAAATGCAATAAATTTTTTTTTAGGAGAATGAACGAATATTTTCTGATTGCCATATGTCTTTTTTTAACTGCATTGGGCAACTTTGCTGTGCCATTTATGCCACAAATAGCTCTACTTGCTATTGCTGTTCTCGTGGCAGGAACTTCGATGGGAATATTAGACACTGGTAAATACTTATCCTAATTTTTCATAATAAAGTACATTTATGCTAGATTTTTCAGAATAGTAGCTGTATTAGTTTCAATATGACTGTTGCAAAATATTTCTTTTTAGGTGGGAATGTCCTTTGTTTATCGTTGTGGGGCACTGAATCAGAGCCATGGATGCAGACTCTACACTTCTTTTTTGCATTCGGGGCAACATTATCACCAATGCTTGCAAAACCTTTCATTATGGAATCAGTATTAGCCGATCATACCACAAACAGTTCAACAATAACTCCAGGTTTGTGAATAATAACAATAATTGTCATGATTTGCCAATTGTATCTTGAATACAATTGAATTTAACTGTAGTTGAATTTGAAATTATTAATAAAAGTTTTTTTTTTACTTCATATTTTCACACTTTGTATGAACTTTGCTCAAAGCATTAACACATAAGGGAGTGACAAAACATGCTTATTGGTACCGTGGTAAACCACTGTTGAACTAAGAGCTACAGAGACAAATATTTAGTTGTCAAACGTGTTTGCAAAAATAAACCCCATCTGTTAATTAAGAGTTGTGAAGATTATTGTCTGTAATTGATGCTCAGACAAATAAATTTGATTGAATTTGAAAAATCGTCTCTAAAATTGAATGTCTGGTTTTAGCTTCAAAATATTTCATTTGTATAATGTTCATGTCCTCATACACTAAAGAGCCCTTGATGATGTGAAGTATACATGTTGGAGTTGAAGTGTGCAATGACTGCTTGTTTGTAAAGTATTAGATTAAGAGCTTATGTCCGGTTTGTATATGATAATATTCTAACAACTGTGATATTCCATGTACTTGAGTTTGTGAGTTTAAACGCCAAAAACAGCTCTTCCAAGAATTGCATTGTAACTATAAGGAACTCAGTAATCTTGCATTTCAATACCTTTTGAGAAATTTGACCATGAACTAAAGCATTTATATTCAGATACTTCAACAAATGCGGTTATTGCTGCAGAAGACAGTTTTCCTCTGGTTGCATGGGCTTTTATAATTGCAGCCACTCTTGCTTTATTGGTATCTGTTATTTTCTGTTTCCTATCATTTTCAAAACATACAAAAAATGCATCTCTTCAGGAAGACACCACTAAATTAGAGGGTAAATTTTACAGGTGAGCACGATGGGGATTTCAATTCTATAGCTGACGAGTGTGTTCACAAAATGTTGTGTTTTGTCACCACACAATGATTGGATAGAGCCTGTGTATAAGTGAAGTACGGTATTCAAAAATTCGATAATTTTTTTTTGAAGATAATCCTATATTGAAAGGATTTGGCATTCCTGTAGTTGAACTTGACTGTTCAAAATGAGTATAACAATTCAAAATGCAGATGTGTCATATAATGCTGCGATATGGTGTCAAAATTTACTGATCTGCTTAACTATGTTGTTTCAGAATTCTCTGAAAATGGAGCCATAATAAACCATTATTTCATTATTTGTATTGGTCAAAAATGTGATAGTAGTTCTATATCATATATGAACCATACATATTGTATAGGAAATATCTGCAACCTTGAGCATATGATTGTGTATTTTCTGCCTACTCAAACTTAGCTATTGAAGCTGTGCGGTACTTCATTTCATGTTGGATTTATGTTTAATATTTTTCCAATTTTTTTTTAATACAAATGCTTTACTGTTTCAGGATGAAAATCCTAATTCTTCTCTATTGGTTCTACTTTTTATATGTTGGAACGGAAGTAACGTTTGGACTCTTCATATATACATTTGCTATCAAGTGTGATATGCATTATTCAAAAAATACAGGAACAGCATTAAACTCATTGTTTTGGGGAATATTTGCTATTGGAAGATTTTGTGCGATATTTTTTTCCAAATGTATTTCACCGAAATGTATGTATAAGTTCTTGAATTTTAATATCAATTACTATTGTTATGATATGCATGCCTTAACAATGGTGGCATCATTTTTATGAATTTATAACCGATTGACCTGCAAAAACATATGGCCCATGTGAAGTTGACCGTCTCTTTAGAAAGGATACAAATGAAAAGTTTCATGCTTTTGACAAATTCTAATTGAGAGTGCTCAGTTTTGTATTTTTGCGGATCAGACAATATTATTCTCATGGCAGAGATGTCAGTATACAGTGATCATCTCACAAGACTCAAAACAAACAATACAAGTAAATAAATAATGTCAACCAAATTGGTGCAACTAATGTCATTTAACTATTTTCAGATCCTGAAAAAAATTGTGCTACAATCAGATGAAACTTGTTATATTGTTTGCATATTGTAATGCATGATAACACGATCACTTCATAGTTAGATTTTTTCCCCACAAGTTATTCTGTTTTACACCCCAAGTTTGATGATAAAAGCATACTACGTCACGTGGTTTATAGCACCTTGACATAAATTCAATTTTATGCAAAAATTTCAATGTGCAATATCAACGAATTAAATTTTAATGAGTTGGGTTAATGAGATGTTCAAATTTGGGTACAATCGGTATCAATGTTGATCAACATTTTCCGTCGCTCCAGAAGTAAGTGTACCAATATGGAGGTAACTAATTTTGTTCGCTTACTATACATTAAATTGTGTAAAGGGACAAGAGGCCTATGGGCAGGGGGTATATTCACTTGGCTAACACGAACTGTCCCCGAACTTGTAATAAAACTAAAATAAGGAAAATCGGAATAAAACTATTGTCTAACCCTAATCTGGTACACATACTATGAGAGTACCTTTTTTTTACAAGCAAATTCTGAAAACCCTTACAATTTGTTTATACATCTGATTTCTTTTCTAGCTATGCTTTTGCTGGATTTATTGGGAACTGCAATAGCCACTGTTGTCATGGCATTTTTTCCGTATTATGCTCAGAGTGCAGAATGGTTATTATGGGCTTCTGTAGCATTGTATGGATGGTCAATGGCAAGTTTATTTCCCTCTGGTATCACTTGGGCAGAACATTATATCACTGTAACAGAAAAGTAAGTGTCAATATTATTGTAAGCGCAACATTGGAACCTGACCGTTTGTTTAGAATTCACCACACAAAATCTGTTCATGTAGTGAATATATCAAAAATATTAACCAATATTTTACGGGATCCATGATTGTTCTTGGAAAATATAATAACCCAATGTGTGTGCTTTGATTGAAATTTGTTCCGCTTGGAGTTAGAGATATCAAGGCTTAGTCTAGTCTAAATTGAGTTTACGATTAAGATAGTTATTCTCAGGTATGGAGTGTTGTTTTTGTAGAATACAAAGAACCAATTTTGCAGTATGTATTATTTACATTAATTTGACAGGGCCGCTACTACTTTTGTTGTGGGTGCATCTCTTGGCGAAATGGCACTGCCATTCATCATGTATCATATGATTGCTCGAAATCCAATGAATTTGATGTATTTTTGTGCTGTATCAACTGGAATATCCATTCTCATATTTATTGTACTTCTCATTATTACTGGAAAACAAGGGTCTCGGCTCGATCTTGCCAGGTGATGTAATATAATACTCTCTTAGATTATAAATTTGAGAATATATACACATAATTGATTCAATTGCTCAAATTGACCAGTTTTATGTCTGAAACTTTCTTTATCCAAAAGCTGCCATATTTATCGCTAGAACAATTTTTATTGAATTCAAAAATTTCATGTGGTTAGGTATATGTCTTGAGGGAACAATGTTGCAGCAGTGATGATGTTTGATTGGGACTTAATTAAGTTATTTATTTATTTCATATAGAAACAAGAAAAATATATCCATGGATGAGAAAATGAATGAAACAGCTGGAGAACAAAAATACACTCTCGTTCCCACTAATGATATTGATATGAAAGCAGATGATAATATTCGATCATCAGATGAAGAAATCTGATTCTTAAATCCAAGTTTCATTATTCTTTCTGTCAACTGTTCGAGAATCAACAAATTAATGAACAATTTGATTTTGTATATCTAGTTTGCAAATACGTTATCTTATTTTATCTTGCCAAGTTCCGTTTATGTTCACTGACATTGCCTCGTTCCGAAATTTGAAGTTTCCTGAATATACATTTGGTATTACACAAGATTGGTTGAGATGTGGAAAAAGTTTACATAGATTTGTTTCACAAAATTGTCGCCCTGTTAGGGCTGCCACTGCTACAGAAAATTATTTGAAATATATTGTAATTGCTTGAACCACACCCGGCATACTGCCTGCTTTTTTTCTGTAAAAAATTGCTACTAGTAACTAGATGGTGGTATCATAGGGCAGGGCTACTCAACTATTTTCACTATGTCCGTTTACAAAACTTCAAAATTATTGGGGTCTGCACATTTCAGAAAATTTATTTCATTGAATAAACCAATGCATCATTAAATTCAAGAGCAATGAATGGCTCACAAATGTCACACATCGGTACCAGTGCGGCAAACTGTATAGCCGTGAATGTTAATAGTATCAAAAACTATAAAACAATGCTAATGCTGCAATCGCGGTCCATATTGAATGGTGGAAAGGTTCGGATTCGAACCGTGGTCCGCCAGTTGAGTAGCCCTGTCATAGAGCAGTATTTGATGTAGCTGTCTGAAACTTGGATCCATAATGGCAAAAGTGAGTGTTGTAATTTGGATGCTTCTAAAATAAAACATTTTTAATGAGTATCCTAAAATTAATATATTACATCATGATCTTGACATTACAAAGTTTTCCCTATATTATCTTGATCTATAAATCGGGTTTATTCTTTGAAGTTTTTCCGATTGTCGTATATTCAACTTTGCCTGTTTTATATTCCAACTTTGATTTAATGTAATCAATGTCAGATTTACTATGAAACCACCTTTGTTATTGATGTTGTGTATCTATTAAATTTCACGTATAGCTTCCGTTCTGTAGTGCAATATACTTTATCGCTTATTAGCATATATCACTTTCACCTTTTGTAACAAGGGTAGAGATTCATAACTTGAGGGAAAAAAATTGACAGGAATGCATTTCTTTCATACCTGAAGCTGTAGGAATTCAAGGACAAGATTTGATAGGATTTCATTTATGTGCGAAGAAGAATCAAAAACTAATTTCTTACTCTCGCTTTTTAAGTGCTGAATTGAGGAAGTATAAGTTTATTTTGACTCCCATAATCAGCGAAAAAACGATAATAAAAAAATTGATAAAAACAAAACTGATTACATAACCGGGAAAGCGAACGAAACAAGGTTCAAAACGTACAGATGTTAAATTAAAAGGTGCTGTCGAAAGAGGTGGTACGTACACGCACGCAATACACATACAATCACGCAGACAAAATTAAACTATAAGAGAGAAACATAATATTATATTGGATACCGAATTAGTTAATGGGAGTATAGGAAAATATTTCTAAAAATATATCGGAAATCAAGTCTCTATACAGCAGCAACGTTTTTGAAGGATCCAGGCTTCTAATTTCATCCACACTTTCAAAAATCTATAGTTTTCTCCATTTTGTTTTTCCCAGCTTTATTCCAGTGTTTGATGTTTTTTGGCGCAGTGTTTGCTGCCGTGGTTGAGAAAAATTTCCGCGTTAGAACCATTGAGGTTATATACACCTCACTGGTTAGAACCCGTACCGATACCGGTATGAAAGAAACAAAATATAATATGGTTTATGATACCGGTAATGAAAATGCTAGACTTCGTCTCTGCATTGTATTTTGATATTATAGCAACTCATATTGTTATAATTGTTTACATTTCTTATTTGTTATTTAATCGTCTCATATCTTACTTTTGACATTCCTCTGCAAAAAAAAAATTGATCATTATATTTATTAAATTCTAGAATGTTCGCTCCACCTTTATATTTAGCGTAAATACTACGGATATTTAGTCATTTGAAATTGTGAATCTTAAACATAATTGCATGAATGGGGGGAGTTGACTTTGATGACCGTCTGGTCGTATCACTCCCTCTTGTCTATACCAAACTAATTTATTGTTATTATTTATTATTATTACGATGACTCATTTATTTATTATATTTATTTTATTTTGGTTGGCGAAATAATAAATCTCTCTTTCTCTCTAAAGGAAAAAATGGCGTATTTAGCACCCGGGGAAATGCCGCGAGTGCTGTAACACATTTTGTGATTGTGTGCAGGGATTGGTACGGTAAACGACAAGCGAATGCAAAGTGGGTTTAGGTCGGGCGAGTATCAGTATAGAGGACTTGCACGGGTCACGTGACTTTGTTACTGGACGGCAATAAAACAAAAACGTCCATTTGGCTCCTGTCAGTTGCAAGTCGGATTATACGTTTCCGTTTTGTTTGGCTGTTGAAAATGGTTATTTCGTATTGTTCCGTTGGCTGTACGTATAGTATAGACAACGAAATGGATCTTCAGTTATATTCCACTGTTTTCAAAAGATCCGAAAGGTCGCGCAATGTGGATATCATCTATTGGCAGGACTGCTTGGTGTCCAAGACCAGATGTCATCTCGATTGTCAGCTGGTATTTTCAAATTAGATGAATGTTTTGCTGCGGGACCACTGCTTTAGTAAACAGACTGTCGACGTACTGACATACCGTTTACTGATAATGCTATGCTAATGGTACCGTACACATATGAATCGCAACGTACCTACCGCTGTACCGTAATAATATTACGTTTTTTTTACAATCCGGTTCAGGTAGTTGGAATGTTTATCTGCCGGTAACTTACATTTTTCTTCGTGTTAAATGTCTAATCAAAGTCTATTTTTGGATTTATAGAATAGCAGGTAATTTGTACTAGTACTGTAGTGGAGCTCACATTCTAGAATGGCATTTGTCTTCTCTAAGTACACTTCGCACCTCTTGGGACCTACAGCAGCACGATACAAGCAAAAATGTATGGGAATTGGTAGCGATGATTCATTTGGAATGCCGTCGACACTTTTTAAACAAATCAGATCAGACTCTATAGATGATTTTACTACAGCGGATGTTCCCAATTTCACATATCCAGATTTATGTAATTATTTAATATACACAAACTCTTTTTATACCGGTGATGAACTGAAGGCCTTCAAAAGCCTAAATGCATTTAACCAGCTCACTCAAGGGTGGCTCAAGTATCTGGGAATAAAGCAAGTCATTGGAGGAAGGTTTCTTATAATGTCAAAGGTCTTCCATGTAATTGATGTTATTCAAGCTAATTGCTACATTTGTGTTTGTTCTGTTTTAATCACCCAGAGTTAATGGTACAAATATGTCAAGCCACTATTTTTAATTGTCTATATGCATATTTTTGCACATTCTCAATCTATAACACTTCCACCGCTACCATCTTGGATTGTCATAGAAGCAAGCGGGACCGTAGATACAGCACATTGTGCATGTATGGCTGGCTTAGGGGAGGCATGCACACATATTGCCAAAGCACTTTTTGCAATGGAATCTCTGGTAAAATATGTGTCTGAAAAATCTTGCACTTCACAGTCTTGCTATTGGCTTTGCGGTCCAACAGATGTTGGAAAACCTGCAACATCAACTTTTCTAGGCCATCAGTAGATTCATGCACCAATAATGCTATTTCTGACCATATCCAAAGGCATGTTCCACTTCCAACCTATGAAGAAAAGCAGGATATGTTTAGAAAGCTTCATGCTACCAACTTCAAGTCTGCTGTGCTCTCAGTTGTTCCAGGATATGCCCAAAACTATGCCCCAAAAGCCATTAATTTAAATATTCCAAAGCCTTTATCAGACTTGTATTCTTCATCCAACCTTGGTCTCACCCTTAACGAAGTATGCAGTAAATCTGAGGAGTTATTCAACAATATAAGTGTGTCAACACAGCAAGTAAGTATTTCGCCTCTTTCTCGCCTTCTGCCTTCTTTCAAAATCCACTTTTTTTCGAGCTATTCTTTTCTTCTCTGGAGATGAACAAAATTTAAACATTGACGGAACAAAATCAGGCGATAATGGGTTATCATTCTTTTTTCCTGAAAATATATTATACATTTTTCATAATCTTACATTGCCAAGCTTCTTTTAAGAATAGATGTGGCTACGAGCTTCTTATTTTCTGCATGACCACTGGCGCTATACTTCAGTCCTCTATTCAACTACACTAATAGGCTACCCGCTGACTTTCGAAACATTACCATGTGACAGTTGATGTTTAATTTTCTACAACAAGCTAAGTGGAAACGCAAGTAGGAACACCAATACCAGTATTCTATTTTACAATAAAAATGGTGAACATTTGAAGAATTTTGCAACTAACTGACCACCAACGAAATGCTGCCCGCAAACACGAGCCACATTGCTGGGACACCATCCCTTCCTCCTAATAGCTGATATCCACCTTGCACGACGTTCCGGATCTCGTGGAAACCTATGAAATGGGATTCCGGACCCCTTCCGCTGTCTATTAGTACAGTCAATTGCACAACATGAAATAACCATATTAAAAGTCAAGCGAAAAGACATCCAACAACGCCTGCAACTGACGGGAGCCAAATGGACGTTTTTGTTTTATTGCCGTCCAGTAACAAAGTCACGTGACACGTGCAAGTCCTCTATATGAACAAGAGAGCCATGCTCAAATATATGGACACGTAGAGTCACATAATTTTGATGACGTCATAGCGAAAAAAAAAGTAATAGCCTTCTGGAGAAAATTTTTATCTTTAACCACTGAAAATTTCAAAGCAATTGGTCCAGTATTCGAAGAGAAAAGCGACTTTTTAAAAACGTGTCAAAGAACAAGAACAACAACATAATATTGAAACGATCGTTATGTCCACTACGTGTCCAACAAAGAGATGAGAGCTGAATTCACGGCGGTACCGGTGCCTAACGTAGGTGCGGTACTGAGTTAGCAGTCAGCCAGCATCTTACCTGTACACTGTAGGCCATATACGGTAATTGATCACAGAACAGTTGTTCCCTTGCAAATTTTATGTTGTTTACACTTTAGGACAGATAATTGATCACAGAACAATTCTTCCCTTTCAAATTTTATGTTGTTTCCAGTAGACTCTCATCAAAACAAGAGAGCTATGCTCAAATATATGGACACGTAGAGTCACATAATTTTGATGACGTCATAGCAAAAAAAAAAGTAATAGCCTTCTGGAGAAAATTTTTATCTTTAACCACTAAAAATTTCAAAGCAATTGGTCCAGTATTCGAAGAGAAAAGCGACTTTTTAAAAACGTGTCAAGCGGTACTGAGTTAGCAGTCAGGCAGCATCTTACCTGTACACTGTAGGCCATATACGGTAATTGATCACAGAACAGTTGTTCCCTTGCAAATTTTATGTTGTTTACACTTTAGGACAGATAATTGATCACAGAACAATTCTTCCCTTTCAAATTTTATGTTGTTTCCAGTAGACTCTCATCAAAATAAACAAATATAGTAGGCTACAAGTGCTACAACGTTTGCATTACTGCACTGGTAGGACCGTGAAAGAATAAGTTACGGTAATTTCATTGTGGTAAGACACCGGTAC